CTGACTTGGAGATATGCCTCTGGATGCGCAGTCGGCTGGATTTTCTTTCTCACTGACGTGTCTCCAGATAGCATTCGGGAGAGTTTCCTGGATCTTGACCACTCTGTTGTGGACGAAATCTTTCCACCTTGATGCGTGGCTTCTGATCCAAGCGAGTGTTACTGCTGAATCCGACCAAAGATGAGTTTCTGCATGGTCGAGCTGAAGCATCCTCTGTGTTGAGGCTACTAGTTGTGTTAACAAGAGAGCTGCTGTAAGCTCTAATCTTGGAATAGTCATGCGCTTGATCGGTGCTACCTTTGTCTTCGCGCAGACCATCACTGTTGAAGCTGGCTCGTTGATGTTCCTGGTGCGTATGTACACCACTGCACTCATAGCTACGGTTGAAGCATCTGCGAATCCGTGTAATTGAATGTTACTTTCTTTTGATGTTAAATTGAGCCATCTGGGTACAGCAACTTTGTCCAATTCTGTGAGTTCCNTGACTGGAGCGATGAAGCTCAAAGGATCGAAGATCTGAGCTATCTCTGAAGATACAACCCGCTTGGTGATCGTCTGTGTGTTGAAGTCTCTGGATTTATACCTGAATGTGTCGGACGACTGATGCCAACACATTCCAAGAACTTTGGTGACTGATTCTTCAAACTGGATTACGGCTTCCTCTGTTGATAATCCGAGCTCGTGCAATAGCCGTGGGCAATTGCTGCTCCATTTCTGAAGAGCGAAGCCTCCAGCCTGACAGAGTCCTTGTNGCCAACACATTCCAAGAACTTTGGTGACTGATTCTTCAAACTGGATTATGGCTTCCTCTGTTGATAATCCGAGTTCGTACAATAGCCGTGGGCAATTGCTGCTCCATTTCTGAACAGCGAAGCCTCCAGCCTAACAGAGTCCTTGAAGTTGCCAAACTATCTCCTTGAGTTCTGCTGCTGACTCAGCTCTGCCGTAGATGTCGTCAACATACCGAGCTCTGGTGATTGTCTCGACGGCTGCTGGGAAGCGGTGACCCTCATCCTCCGCTAATTGTTGAAGAACTCTCAGAGATAGCCATGGAGAAAAGTTGAGACCGTAGGTGACTGTGGTTAGCTGATAGGAGATTTGTTGCTGATTATCATCAATCCACAAAATTCTCTGGAGGTCCCAATCGTCCCTGTGAACTCGTATCTGTCTAAACATCTTAACGATGTCGGTGCCAAACACGAGTCTGTGCTTTCTCATCCATGTCAAGACGTCCATGGCGTTGATCTGCAATTTTCCACCAGGATATAATATATCATTGAGTGACATACCTGATGAGCTGGGACTGGAGCCGTTGAAAACGACTCTCAGTTTTGTGGTGATGGCCTCTTCTCTCAGAACCCCGTGGTGTGGCAGATAATAGGCTGGGGTAGGTTCTGGAGAATCGGGTGCTCTCTGCATATGTCCCAAAGCCTCGTACTCGTTGATAAACTCCTTGTAGAGCTGGGCATATTCCTGATTGTTGTTGAGTTTGCTGACTGTTGATCTGAGCTCTCGTGAAGCCTTGAACTTTGACTCCCCGAGCGCTTCAGCTGACGTTTTCAATGGGAGCCTCACAATGTAACGCCCTGTTGAATCTCTGCTGTGTGTTGATCTGAAGTGTTTTTCACACTCCAGCTCGTCTTGTGATAGCTCTGAGTTGTCTGAACGTTGGACTGGTAATTCTTCCTGGACCCAAAACCTTTGTAGAAGCTCTAGTAGTCGTTCATTTGAAGATTCCCGTACAGCTGATAGGGAGACCCTTGTTGAGCGACTGGAGCAGTTGATTGGACCTGATAATATCCAACCAAATGCTGTGCATTGGCCAACTAATCTTGACTGTTTAGACTTTACAACTTCATCTTTAATTATCTACCCGTAGTTATCAGCCCCTATTATTATATCTATTGGTCCAGGCTGGAAATACTGTTGATCAGCTAGTTGAAGATTTTCTAGTGAGCCGATGTCGACT